AGAACATTTTGCAGCAGTAACTGCTGCTTCTCCTCATGGGTGACTTTGAAACATGGAAGAGAAAAGAAGCTTTCACTTCTCGAATTTTATTTTGCCATGAGCATGTCTGATTAACAGAATGGTATAGAGTCTTGCACTTTTCCAAGACAAGAATTTTGGATATCTGTAGACAGGAAAGTTTTTTATGGTTGTTTAAGATCTTAACATTCAAGATTTTCTTGAGAGTCAGCAGAGTTAGAACTTCCTTAGAGAAATAAAAACCAGAAATCTGCCAATTAAATTCAGAAATGCTTCTAAATACTCACAATTATTCTGTGGAGTACTACTGCAATTTGTGGTATGTCCTATTGCATCTAGTTTTTCATTCTCTAAGGATAGAAATGTCTTTTGTTTGGCAGCTTCATACACTGCTCGCAGTATGTATCAACTAAATTAAAAAAAAAAAAAAACGCTGCTCTAGCTTAATACCTCCATTACTGTAAAAAGCTCTGGCACCTCAGTTTTCCAGCTATTGCAGTTATTTTGCAAGAGCATTCAGCACACACACTTTGGGCCCTGCAACACTTGCTGTCAATATAAAATTCCACTAAGTCCAAAGGGACTGTTTGCATGACATTGCCCATGCATGTCATAGACAAGCCCACAAGAATAAAGACTGGTTACTAGGCTTATATTTTGTCCGCTACAAAAATTGCCAATAACTACACTAGCACCAGTTGTTAGATGTTTCTAATTGAGGTAAATTTTACTGCTTGATAGAGTTTAGAAATTAATTCCACTCTTCTCCTATGTTTACAACCTGTCACGGTGTATTTAATGAAATATCATAAAGACCAGCTGATATGCATCCAAACTATTTCTGAAGAAGAAGTTCCTTTCAGAGATGTTCACTAAGTTAACAGATAACCTTAGTGCATCATGACACTTTCACAGTATTTTCACAAATCACCTATTTCCTATTGTATATTTTAGGTCTCTGACCCCTTCCTTCAGCATTTACTACCTTCTATCTACAGTCAACTGAATATAAAAAGAATCTATTGCTGAAGTCTCATCCGCTGTTCTAAATGCGCTGTTTTGCCATTTTAGCAATTTTACTAGTCAAGGGTCTTTCTTTTCTCTAATAAAACAAAATCCAGTCTTTGTCCTGAGTCTCACATTTACTAATCTACCTCTGTCTAACCTCAGCTTCTACCACTAGCCAGCTACTGCCTCATGAATTTCACGTATTTTGGTTTTTAAGTCCCCTTTGTGATTCTTGCAATTTATACCTGTCACCATCCAAAGCTTCTCTTGTAGCTGGAACCACCTCACACTCCTCACAGTTACTAGAGAACCTTCCAAACCCTCGGAATTCATCCTTTCTTAGTTTCCACGACTTATTCTCCAGCTCAACTAAACCATTAAAAACAGAGCAACTGATAACCAGCTATGGAAATATGCAGACTTATATTATGCAAAAACAGGACTTTTCATCTTTCCTCTACAATAACCCTACCTGCTACCTGATGTATATTTTGGAAGTTTACATTTAATTTTAAAAAGGAGTAAAAAGGAAAGTTTAATAGGGGTTTTTTTTTCCCACCCACAAAAAAACAAAAACAAACAAATGCGAGGAATTATTTCTTGTCACATACAAGGTAAATTTAAAAGGTAAGGGTTCTCAATCTTTGTAAAATTTATATACAATCTCTGATGGCAAAGTAGTCAAAAAAACAAATTAAGATTTTGTTCTCTATAACCCATTCACCCTGTACAATCAAAAAAGGGAAAAATTTATCAATGAACACTAATTTCTTGACACTGTACACAAATTAGTTTCATCTTGAGTGGTTTATAGAGTAACAAAATACTTCTATTGCATGTGTAAGAAACATAAAAGTGAAAACTCAAAACCATATTTTTATTAAAAATACTACTAATTAAGTAATTTTATCTACACTAACCAAATGTATAAGGTTCTAGAAAATCTCCCATATGGCCTGTACAGTCAAAACATCTGCACAAATGCCACTATTCTCTGTTTTTGAGCCTAAAGTCTTTAATATCCCTCTAATGATAGTTATGTATCACATGTAGTCTGTAACAGCTTTAGGATTAATTGTTATCTGTTTTTCCTACCTCATTAATCTAAGGCAAACAGTGGATATAATCTATTTTCTCATGCATATTTTGGAACTGGATGCATGTGCTCAGTCTGTATCAGCCACAGTTATTCTGAAGTACGTAACAGTCGTATAGGGAAAATTAGCCTGTGCTAAGCAGCTGTCCTGCAGTAGAGATAAAGTGGAGAAAAACACCACATCAAAAACAATCACCAGAGTCCTTCCTACTCAGCTCTTAGACTTCACAAGTTCTTAAATACCGCATTCAAGGCCATGCTTTGAAAAACAGTTTTAATTTATTTTTTTTTTTTCTGGTGTTAGGAACAGAAATAAGGCTCAATGCTGTGTAACAGAGGCAACTTCAGTGAAAGATAATCCTGTGGTTCAGCAGACAGGCAGTGGCTAAAGGTTCAGTGCCAGGATATGCCACAGATAGACTGCAGGAAACCAAAGCTGCCACTGCATTTCTGTGAGCCCCAGGGTCCTGTTTGTACTAGAGGGACAACAGCTCCAGGTTTGTTTTTTTTTAATCTTTGACATTAAAACTTGCATTTAAGTTCTTCAGAGCACAAACTCCCATATGACCACAGCTAAACACAACAGTCTCCGTTCTCAGCTAGATCCTGCCAACTAAAAAGGAAAGTGGTTTTCTTTTCTAATACTTCTCACACATTCAGCCCTAGAGCAGGCTGCCCCACTGTCATATCTCCAGAGCTTTTCACAGCAGAATACTGCCAAGCAGAGCAGAGAACACAAACACACACCCCGCCAAAGGAGCTCTGCTTTCACGTGTTCTGCACACAGGCAAATGACCAGCTGGCACGCACGTCATGGTGACCTGATTAACACTTGGCTTTACACAATTCATTAAATGTTACACTTTTGGTTCAAATGATGTTTGTTTTGTTTCTCTGTGACATAATAAAAAAAAATAACAAAACAAAACAAAAAATCTAGATGAAAGAGGCGGAAAGGGTAGAAAAGGGGAAGCTACAGTCACTGCACATCCTTAAAGGGATGGGAAAGCTCAGCTGTATTCATCCTGATGGTCTTGTGACACCCTATGAAATCTTCATGGAATTCTAGAATGGTTTGGGTTGGACGGGACCCTAAAGATCATCCAGTTCCAACACTCTTGCCATGGACAGAGATACCTTCCATTTGACCAGATTGCTTTGAGCCCCATCCAAGCTCACCATAAACACTTCCAAGGATGGAGAATTCACAGCTTCTCTGGGCAACCTGTTTCAGCATCTCGCTACTATCACAGCAAAGAATTTATTCTTAATATCTAACATAAACCTGACTTTTCACTTTGACGCCATTCCCCCTTGCCTTCACCTCCCTCCCTCATACGTATTTCTTAAGCGTATTTTATTGAAACATACTCAGGTGTTTCAAAACTCCTTCCCAACAGGTGCCTTCTACACACCCGTGTGGCTGCAGCCCCTGCCAGAGAAGGACAGAGCCAGTGGCTCCCGGCAGGACACCCACGGGGCTGCCTCGCCTTCCCGCCGGCTTTACCTCGGCTTATGCCGGATTTACCGCCCAGACGCAGAGCCCCGGCAAGGGGAGGGCGACGCAGCCCCTCCAGCCACTCCGCGGGCGGTGACAGCC